TATCTGGTTAACAAATAATGTAGCTTTTTTAACAGTAGCTAAGGGCAACTGATAGCTGGTTCTCTTCTATAGGTCATATGAAATGTTTTAAATGTTTTATTAGGAATTCGACTTTACATTGCCTTGAAGAAATAGTAACTCTGGCAAGGGTCAGTAAGCTTTTTCTGAAACAGGTCGGACGGATAGTATTTTAGACTTGGAAGTGTGTCATGCTCAGGTGTCCCTGTTGCAACTAGTCAATTGCAACTGTTCTCAGAAGCAGCCATAGGACAATATGTTAATGAATGGGCGTGGCCGTGTTTCTGCGTAACTTTATTTATAAAACCAGGCAGTGGATGGACTGGGACATAGGCTGTAGTTTGTCACCCCCCAACCTACAGAAATCAAAGCCCCAATGAACACCCATTGCTTCTAAAATAAGTTAGCATAGGGACGCCTGGGTGGCTCAGTTGGTGAAGCTACTGTCTTTAGCTCAGGTCACTATCCCACCTGGGATCGAGTCCCGCATCAGGCTCCTAGCTTGGTGGGAAGCCTGTTTCTCTCTCCGCCTCTGCCTGCCACTCTGCCTGCTTGTGCACTCTCTTTCTCTCTGACACATAAATAAATAAAATCTTAAAAAAAAATAAGTTAGCATTATTTTTCCTCTAATTAATGCTGAAAAAATTAAAAATGATTTAGTGCCAGAAATGTCTCCAAAAAGATTGCTCTTTCAACATCACACTGGTATTTCAAGCATTTGCTGACCATGCTTCAGTCACCCTGGCCTCTCCATTCCTTGAACATGTTTCCACCTCAGGACCTTTGCACTCACTGATCCCTTGGCCTGGAAGAGCTAAACCCAGACCTTGGCATGCTGGTCTTCTCTCTTTGTGTTTCGGTTCTCAAGCAACAGGTTTTCCCTGGGCAGTCTAGCTACGTAACTCCCACCCACTATCATGCTCTATTACATCACTGGCTTTATTTACCTGGGTTGATAAATGCTATCTTTAAAAACATCTTGTTTGCTTATTTGCATGTGGTCTGTTTTCCACAGTGAGAAGGTGAGCTCCAAGGTGTCTTGTTCATTAGAGCTCCCCTGGTACTCTGCTCACACACTGTTTGCTGTTGTTTGTTGGTAAGCCCTCATCAGCTCTCACAGCCTGTGCAAACACATGATTCTCCTTGAAGCAGTGGGGACCAAACATCTCAGACCTGGACATCTCGATTCAGCCTTCCTACAACTATTTACTGAGTACCTATCACGCATCAGGCGAGAAAACAGCAAGGAGGCTGGTATGGTTAGAGCAGAGAGAGGAAGAGGAGGAAAGAGATGTCAGAGAGGTTGGGGGATATGATCACATAGGGCTTTGTAGGACATCCATGGTAAGGGTTCTGGATTTACGGAGTGAAATGGGGAGTTGTTGGAATTTTGAACAGAGTGCCATGATCTAGCTGCTTTGTGGAAAACAGACAGACAAGAGGGGATAAGAAGGGAATAAGAGAAACCAGTTAGAAGCCTCGTAATAACCCAGGTGAGAGGTGATGGGGACTGGACCACAGCGGCCGAGGTGGAGGTCAGAAGAAGGGGTCGGATCCTGGGTAAATTTGCAAAGTACAGTCACTGGGACTTCCTGCTGGCTTACACTGGGGACGGGGGCAGGGTAGTGGCGGAGAAAGAGGGAATTTCTGACCTAACGAAGAACAGGGTTTCTGACCTAACGGGGAAGGAGCAGCTGCCCTCAAGTGCATGGGAAAAGCCGGGCCGTGCAGATGCACACTGTAGGCGGGAAGCTTCGGCTTCCGACACTTTCCATTTCAGATAGATTTTAGGAGGTAATGCATAATCTGTGCTGGAGTCCAGGACAGAGGTCTAGCTTGGAGGTACAAACCTGCGAGCCACTGTCCCGTGGATCATACTTAAAGCCAGATGAGAGCACCCAGGGAACACAGACCGAGAGGGGAGATGACAGGGATTGGGAACTAGGGCATACTGGGTGAAGAGGCAGGAGGCAAAGAGGACCTAGTGAGACGCTAAGAAGGAGTTCCCAGTGAGGTCGGAAGGAAGCCAGAAGACTGGAATAAGGCCAAGCCAGGAGGAGGAAGCATCCACCCCGTCAAAGCCGCTGATGGGTCAAGGACGCCAGACTGAGGACAGGCAATTGGGTTGAACAGTACAGACGTCACAGGGGCTCAAAAAGGGCAGTGCTGGCTGAGAGGTGTGCAGTGAGTTTAAGGTAGTGAGAGGAGAGGGATTAGAGACAGCAAGTAAGAACACTTCGAAGAAGTTTGGCTGCAAAGGGGAACAAAGAAATGGTGGCACCAGGTAGGGAGAACGACCTCGGGAAAGTTTGTTTTTGGATGATGGCGTGCTTGTGTGTCGACAGGGATAATAACCCAGGAGAGAAGAACTGAGGACGTGGGAGAGAGAAGCACTGGGGCTCAGTTCCAGAGCCGGAGGGAGGGGGGACACTGACTGCACAAGAGGGGAGGCCTGGATTTAGACAGAAGCATCTCGGGGTGGGGGCACAGATGCTGAGAGTCTCAGGACATTTTCTTCTGACTGCTTCCATGTTCTCAGTGACGTAGCAAACAAGTGGCAAGGATGGGAAAGGAGATGCTGGGTTTGCAGAAAGTGGGGGAACGGAGTCACTTCGGTGAGTGGGGAAGCAAATCAGCCAAGGATAGAAAGGATGCTTATGTACTGGCATTAAGGACCTGGCTAAGGGCTCAGTATCAAGGAGACCAGTCTGAAGGGTTAGTTCAATTACTCCTGATCTTGTACATCAACTTCTGCCAACAAGAACAAATTCAGACACGGCTTAGGGATGTAATGAAACAAGGTTAATACATATATCTCAGGGGGCGCCTGGCTGGCTCAGTCAGCGGAACATGCGAATCTTGGTCTAGGGGTTGTGCATTTGAGCCCCATGTTGGGCACAGAGCCTACTAGATACATATTTAAATCTCAGGAAAAGTACTTCTCAAGAGGCTGCCGTGAGAACCCTGACACTGATCTACTTCAACTTGTGATCCACAAGACAGTAAACAGTCAAGGAGAGCCATCGCATTTACTCTAAACCCACACTGGAATTTGCATTCTTTTCCAACAGCCCCGCCTTTTGTTACCTGCGTCCTCCGCCCCTCACCTAGGGCGGTGAGAAAGGGCAAGAAGTCAGATGCAATCCAGAGGGGGAGCCAAGAAAGCCCTTTTCCTTCATGACACGGAACGGAGCAGACACTTGCTAAAAGCTGAATTAATGGCATCTATTCCCAAACCTCCTGACAAAACAAGATCATGACAAAGGTGCCGGGGAAGACAAGTGTAAGCTAACAGAAGAAGAAAGGGAACAAACACATAAATCCATGCAGCGAGACTGTATTCTGGCTAAGGACGTTATGTAATCCATTTTCCCACGAAAGGCATTAAGATGAACAGTGCGGTATTTGGCTAATGAGCACGAAGCAGCCCCTTCCCTGTTGCTACATTCAGGATGTGAGGCGGATGCACACACAGGCAGTGCCAGAGATCGACCTGGGTTCAGCAAGTCAGAAGGGCTGTTTCATTGAGCAATAGGTTTTTGTTTGATTTACTCAATGGAAACAAAACTGTGTCATCCACAAAAACATCCACATGTACCCTCAGGGGCTTATTTATAAACAACACCAGCTCTAGAATCCAGCTTCTCTCAGGGACACCTGACGTATCCCTTCTGCAGACACTCTTTGGGTTCAAACGGAATGTTTCTAGACCAAAAGTCATCTGGATCTTTAACAGGTCTTAAAACAATCTGCACCAACCCATTCCAACAAACAAGAAATCATTAAAGATTGTGACCACTACGTCAAGTTCCAGCTTCATTCTACCAACAACTTTTACACATTTTATCTAAAAGCACAGATTCCTTGGATAATTTCGCTATTAAATATGTAAGCGGTCCAAGCACTTTTACAATGCTGCCCACGGGACTCGTACAGGCTTCTGGACGGAGCGTGGATCGGGAGAAGCAGTTTAGAAAACTATCTACTTAGAGCTAAACACCTGTGACCCCACAATTCCAGTCTTGGGTGTATACAGAGTTCGTATACCCAAAAAGGAGGCAAGCAATAGCCTGGTGGCTGAGAAATGGGTGAACTGTGGTATACTCACACACCCAATACCAACCACCAGTGAATGGAACAAGCTCCCACCATAGACAGCCACACGAATGACTGTCCCAAACCTAAAGTAGAACAAAAGAAGCCAAATGCAAACAGTGCTTAATAAGTGAGTACATTCACATGAGGTTCAAAAGCAGGCAAAACCGTCTGTGTCATTGGAAGTCAGAAGTGTGGACAGCCATGGGAGGAAGGTGTTGCACTGGAAGGGGCCAGGGGACCTCTGGGCCTGGATTTGCCTATTTCTCCACCTGGGAGCTGATGACACGGGGGTGTTCACTCTGGGAAGATTTCTGGGGGCTATATACTTATGACACGCACTTCTACCTCTCTATATATTACACTTCAATTAGGAGTTTTCTTGAAAAAAGAAAAGTAGCTCCAAAATTCAAAAACTATCCTTTAAAAAAAAAAAAAAAAGGAAAAGAAAAAGAAAAACAGAGCCTAAGGGCAATAACTTAGTTTTTATTTTTATTGTTCTATGAAAATGAATTTTCTCTATCAAAAGCAAGGTTTTCTTTTTTTTTTTTTTCTTAAGATTTTATTTATTTGACAGAGAGAGACACAGCGAGAGAGGGAACACAGCAGAGGGAGTAGGAGAGGGAGAAGCAGGCTTCCCGTGGAGCAGGGAGCCCGATGCGGGGCTTGAACCCAGGACTCTAGGATCATGACCTGAGCTGAAGGCAGACGCTTAACGACTGAGTCACCCAGGCGCCCCAAAAGCAATGGTTTCTAACTGAAATATTACCTTACATAAAAGGGGGAAAATATTTAAAGGACTATACATTCACAGGATAAATGAGTATATAAATTATCACTACATCCATTTTGCAATTAACAAACAACCTTTTTCAATGTCAACTTACCTGAGCTGCTTTGCATAGCTGAGTTCAATCTCTGTCCTTTCCTTTACAAATTTGATGTATTTCTCAAGAATGTCAATTCCCCACTGTGTGTGTTTTTCTAAGTTGTCAAATTGGTCCTGTTTAAAAAAAAAAACAAAGAGAGAGAGAGAGTTTTAGAATCCTTCTCTGCGATTAATATAACTTCAGGGAACAATTCTCTCAACAATATGTGGCGGTACAAAAAGTAGTTCTAGTATTTTCCATGATTGTACTGGGTGCTTTTCTTGTGAGGCCGTTTTAAATCAACATTACCAAATTTGGTTTGAAAACTGCCTGGGGTACTGAACTCTGACCCATTCGTTCATGTTAGAAACACAGTTTGGGGATATAGTTAACATTCTGGTACAAAGGAAAATATCTTTTCCAGATTCCAAAAACCGAGAGCTGAAACACACATCAGCTCAGTTGAGCTCGCCAGCACCTCACCTGTTGCCTCTGAGTTAATTCAAACCAGCTCACTGAAATTTGGGGCAAGCAAATGGGAACAGAAAGAGTGACAAAATACTGCCTTCTTCAAACAGATAAATGAAATGACTCATGCGGACTTTATTCAAACATTCGAACATTTATGAAACCCACACCGTGGGCCAGGAAAGGAGCCGGGGAACTGAACTGCACAGAAATAGAGCCCCATCTCGCCTGGAGGTTCCTAGCCTGGAAGAATGAGAGGAGGTGGGTATTTCAGCAACAGCTACTGCAAAGGCGAGGACACATCCAGGAATCTGGGGACTGGGGGGGTGGGTGGCACTTGTCCCTCTGGACGGAAGGTGGAGGGCAGGGGGGAGGGCTCAAGGGAAGAATGGTGGTGGGTAAGAAACTGGAAAAAGTCCCAGCCCATCACCCCAGGCCTCAAACATTGGGAGTGAAGGAGCTTAGCCTCTCCAGTGCACACAAGTGAGCCGTTGAACTTGGAAGGAGAGGCACGCCCACAGACATGCTTAGAATGGCCAGGAGGTGGAAGCCGGGAGATTCTTCCCTAGTCCAGAGGAGAGAAAATGGGAGGAGAGGATACACAGACCCGTAACAACTAGAATCAACTAGTCTTGGCCGCTGATTCCAAGAGGAGGCTGGAAAGGAATAGGAGGGAGAGGCGAGATTCTGGGGGCCTGCCTCTGGCTCCCGGGACGAGAGAATCGAGGGGCTGGGGTGAAGTAGCATGATGCCCGAGGGAGTGATGTGTCCAGAGGGGAGCTGGAAACACAGATCCATTCGGAGCTCAAGGAGGGAGGGCTGTGACCTGGTGGATCTGAAGGGATTCAAGGAGAGGGTCAGCAACGTTGCCTGCCGCTATGCCCTGAATTAGCGAAGAGGGGCCTGGCCTCTGGGAGAGCCCAGAAAGGCCTGGGAAAGCGACGGGAGTGTCAGTGCGACATTGCAGGGAAGGGAAAGCTGCCGGGATGGAAAGATGGGCCATGTCTGCTGTCTCCTGGGAGATAGCAGGAAAAGAGAAATATGCAAGTTCTGGCCCCAGCCTGGAACTCCACCACCTGGGGCCACAGAATGTAGCCAAAATGTAGTAATTTGCCTAGAGATGCCGAATCAGTCGCAGCCTAATTTCACAATTCAGTCATGAGGATCACAGGAAATGGAAAAGAGTCAAATCGAGTATAAAAAATACAAAGCCACAATTTGATCCTATCGCAGGTGTGTGAGATCCTAAGGACACAGTCAGTGCCATCCTTCAGCTTGGTTTTAAAACCTAGCATCTGCCACTTTATACCTGTCCTCGTCCTCTCATTCTGCGTTCCATTCCAAGTTGTGCAAACGGGCAAATGAGTACACGGAGTTCCCTAGAAGTCCACCTTGGGTGGGAGTGTGGGTCCTGCAGAGCCAAAAACATTTTTCTTTCTTTTTTTTTTTAAAGATTTTATTTATTTATTTGACAGACAGAGATTACAAGTAGGCAGAGAGGGAGGCAGAGAGAGAGAGAGGAGGAAGCAGGCTCCGTGCTGAGCAGAGAGTCCCATGTGGGGCTCGATCCCAGGACCCTGGGATCATAACCTGAGCCAAAGGCAGAGGCTTTAACCCACTGAGCCACCCACCCAGGCGCCCCCCAAAACATTTTTTTCTCCAAGAAATTCTCTTCTAGAAGAAAACTCATTTCCTCTTACTTCCACCCAGGCCCACAGAACAGGTTGAGAAACTAAGGTTTTAATTTACTGGAATGGTTTTCTCATGAAAAAGAATCACTACAAAACGTCTTCAAATTTAATAAATGTTTACATTATCATAAAAAACAAGGGACAACTCTGTAAGGTTTTCATTGATTCTTGTCCCCCAATAATATATTCCACGGACATCTAGTTTCTACTTCAAGGAATACTAGTCAGGAAGGTGATTTATTTATGTCCTCCATATAGACAAGGGTGGTCAAACAAATTGATAGGGTAAACAAGACTGTGGGTCACTTCAAACTACTTGAGAGAACAAATATACAAACAATTCAAGTCATGATTACAAATCATTCCTAGCTCTTCAGAGCAAGGCTTGTTTAAATCTCTGGGCTGGTTAGTAACCCTCTGCTAACCTAGTTTCATAGCTAGTTTCCTATTTATTTTAAAACGCCTTTCCAGACCCCTCCCTCCATTTGAGTCCTGGTTCATATCCCAATCCCAGAAGCTTACTATATTCAGGAGTTAGAGTTTCCTTGAAAACTTGCTAACAGGGGCACCTGGGTGGCTCAGTGGGTTAAAGCCTCTGCCTTCGGCTCAGGTCATGATCTCAGGGTCCTGGGATCGAGCAGCGCCATCGGGCTCTCTGCGCAGCAGGGAGCCTGCTTCCCCCTCTCTCTCTGCCTGTCTCTCTGCCTACTTGTGATCTCTGTCAAATAAATAAATAAAATCTTTAAAAAAAAAGAAAGAAAGAAAGAAAGAAAAAGAAAACTTGCTAACATCATCTGCTTTTAGATTGTCCTGATGATAATCTCATACATATTATTCCCTGTGAGTATTTGATTCTTTTTCTTTTTCTTTTTTAAGCTCTGGTGTATAGAATACAGAGCAAAAGCTTTTGATACCGAAACTCTTTGTTTTGTTTTTTTTTTAAATCTACACTTGAATTGAGTCTACCTTAAAAATTACTGGCCCCAACCCAACAGTATGTTTTCAATAAAGTTATCTGTATTCAGGAACATTCTGCAAGCTATAATAAGGTCAAAATAAGATAGAAGATCTTAATGCTAAAAACCTTACCCAGTAGCAACAAATAAACTAGTACTTGTTTGTCAATATAGGATCGGCTCTTTTTATGCTGTATTAGAACATCTCTTGGGGGGCCTGGCTGGTTTAGTAGGTGGAACACGTAGTTCTTGATCTTGGGGTTGTGAGTTTGAGCCCCACGCTGGGTGTAGAGCTTACTTAAAAAAAATAATGAAATGAAATAAAATGTTGTCACAAATAAAATTTTTTAAAATACTAAGACTTCCCTAATAATGGCACACTCTACCCCTCCCATCACATGGATTGCCACGGCATGGAGTTTTTTGACAGCAGCTAAAAGCAAATTCAAAACAGATGAAAAACTAATCAACCCACTTACATTCTTGACCAAAATGTGGAAAACTTAATGGAAAAACATTCCAAATCTTAAAAAGACTCCTTTGTGAGCAAATATTATAAAGGGCCCTTTAAAAAAGAGCCTTTGGGGGCGCCTGGGTGGCTCAGTGGGTTAAAGCCTCTGCCTTCGGCTCAGGTCATGATCTCGGTGTCCTGGGATCGAGCCCCGCATTGGACTCTCTGCTCAGCGGAGAGCCTGCTTCCCCCTCTCTCTGTCTCTGCCTGCATCTCTGCCTACTTGTGATCACTGTCTGTCAAATAAATAAATAAAATATTAAAAAAAAAAAAAAAAACAGCCTTCGGCACTTTGGAGATGGGGCCATTAGCAAAAATGGACCCCTTCCCTTGTGATGTTACAGGACAGCAGTTCTGCCCTCTTAAAAATCATTAAGGACCTTTGAAAGCTTTTATTTATGTGGGTTATGGCCATCAATACTTACTGTATCAGAAATTAAAAACTGAGAGTTTTAAACATGCTTATTAATTTATTTTAAAAGACGACACTAAATCCATCACGTCAAAAGAAACAGCACTTTTTGAAAAGAACTTTCCTTTCCAAAACAAAAACAAAAAGTGAGAAAACTGGCACTGTTTCACTTTTTTGCAAATCTCTTTAATGTTTGGTTTCATAGAAGACAGCTGGATGCTCAGATCCTTCTGAATTCAATCTGGTGCGACTCCTTACTTTGGCTGAAATATGAGAAAAAATAAGACTTCGCACAGATGTGTAGTAAGAAAGTGGAGGAGCCTTTTTAGGTCATGCTGGCTATTACCTGATACTACCCCAAGACTCAACTAATAGTTTCTTAAAGGCTAGTTGCAATATGAAATCTGAAACCCTCCCAAAGAATTTTTTGCATCAGGTTACAATAAAATGCACTCATTGATCTCATGCTCTGAATGGATCTTTTGCCTGCACGTGACTGTGTAACATTATTTAGAAAACACCATTTACAAAGTATCATGTCACTGATAACTTGCAGATCTTCCAAATGTTGCCACATTGCATTACAAAATATATTCAAATCACATTTGTTTATATTGCTACCTATCTTGTCTTTTCCAATGTCTTTATTTTTAAATTTTTGTTTTTAAAAATTTGTTAGAGAGTGGGGCGCCTGGATGGCTCAGTGGGTTAAAGTCTCTGCCTTCGGCTCAGGTCATGATCCCGGGGTCCTGGGGTCAAGCCCCACATTGGGTTCTCTGCTTGGCAGGGAGTCTGCTTCCTCCTCTCTCTCTGCCTGCCTCTCTGCCTGCTTGTGATCTCTCTGTCAAATAAATAAATAAAATCTTAAAAAAATTTTTTTTTTGTTAGAGAGAGAGAGAGAGAGAATACACCCAAGTGGGAGGAGGGACAGAGGGAGAGGGAGAAGCAGGCTCCCCGTTGAGCAAGGAGCCCGATGTGGGGCTCGATCCCTGGACTCTAGGATCATGACCTGAGCCAAAGGAAGTTGCTTAACTGACTGAGCCACCCAGGCACCCTATTTATTATGTCTTTTTTTTTTTTTTTTAAAGTAAGCTCT